CAACTCAAAAAAAAAAAAAAAAAAAAAACATTTATTCAACAACTAGGTTTTGTGTACCTATTGGGTTTCAGTATTGTGCCAGATGCAGGACACAGTTGAAAGCCAAACAGAGCCGGGCTCGGTGGCTCAGCCTGTAATCCCGCGCCTTGGGAGGCTGAGGTGAGTGGATTGCCTGAGCCCGTAGGTTCGAGACCCACCTGGGCAACTTGGCGAGACCTCATCTCTACAATAAATAAAAAATTAGACGGGTGTGGTAGCGCGCACCTGTAGTTCCAGCTACTGGAAGGCTGAGGCAGAAGGATAGCTGGAGCCCAGCAGGTCAAGGCTGCAGTGGCCCGGAGTGGCCACTGCACTCCAGTCTGGGCGACAGAGTGAGACTCCAACTCACAAAAAAAAAAAAAAAAAAAAGAAGCCGGGCTCGGTGGCTCAGCCTGTAATCCCGCGCCTTTGGGAGGCTGAGGTGAGTGAATTGCCTGAGCCCGCGAGTTCAAGACCCGCCTGGGCAGCAAGACCTCATCTCTACAATAAATCAAAAAAAAATCAGCCGGGCGTGGTAGCGCATGCCTGTAATTCCAGCTACTTGGAAGGCTGAGGCGGAAGGATCACCGGAGCGCAGCAGGTCAAGGCTGCGGTGGCCGGGAGCGGCCACTGCACTCCAGTCTGGCGATAGAGTGAGACTCCAACTCAAAAAAAATTAATTGATTAATTAATTAATTAAAAAATTAAAAAAAGAAAAAGAAAAAGAAAACCAAACAGAACTGAGCCCTGCTGGCATGGACCTGAAGGTCTTGCGCCAGTATTAATTCCAATACTGGCTTTGCGCCAACCATAGGCCTAGTATTATTACTTAATATCTGTTTTACACACATACAACATTGCAAGAAATAATGGTGTGTGTGTGTGTACACACACACATGCACACACATGCACTCGTGTAAGTCTGTGAGTATGTGTTTGAGACAGGGTCTTGCATCATCAACCAGGTTGGAGTGCACTGTCATAATCATAGCTCACTGTAGCTTTACCTTCTGGGCTCAAGTGATCCTTCCACCACAGCCTCTGGAGTAGCTGGCACTACAGGCATGCACCGTTGTGCTCGGCTTTTTTTTAATGTTTTATTTTTGTAGAGATGAGGTTTTACTTTGTTGCCCAGGCTGGTCTCAAACTCCTGGGCGCAAGTAATCCTCCTGCCTCGACCTCACAAAGAGCTGAGATTACAAGCATGAGCCACCACATCCAACCAATAATGGCACTTACACTGACACTGTAATATTCTGTTGCTAAGGAATCCCAGGAATAAGCGAGTTGTCATTTTTATCATATATACAATGTCCAGCACAGTGCCCTTTTGCCAGGTCAAGTCAGTGGAGACATCGCTGATTCTCTCTAAAGGGTAAGAACTCAACACCCATATTTCTGATAAATATGAGAAAGACAGGGTGAGATGCAGGGAAGAGCTGCGAGCAAAGGTCAAGGAATGGATGGGGAATTCCCCTTTGATTCTAGGAGGTAGTCCCAGTCAGGATCTCCGATTTCAGTCCCATGGCAGGAGGTCACCACGCGGGAAGCAGAAGATGGAACTTCTCACAACTTATCGTTTCCCCTCCCCCCACCCCCACGGTCAACAACACACTTCTGTCAGTCTCCTGCAGAGCACAGGTTTCCAATATCCATCTTTGGCCTTTGCAGAAATGATCACAAACACAAATTGGAAAGGTTTGGTTTAGCATTTCCTTCGGTTGGTTTTGTTGAAGTTTAGATTACAATCAGTTGTGTTTGCTAATATGATCTCAATGATGTGAAGTAGTTGGTAAGACTGGAAAGGGAAAGAAGCCTGTTGTCTTTGTTTTTAAACTATCATTATTTCTGTATCAAATGGGGTTTGTAAGGACCTTTGGGCTTTGGTTTATAAAACCCAAACACTGGAAAGTTTTGCTTCTTGAACTCAGAGTCTATTATAGCCATACTAGACCAGAAGAAGGATTTGAGACCCAGTTGTCATCTAATGACTGTCCCTGTCATTCCACAGGAAGGTTATCATTTGATGTAGAGAAAAATATTTTAGCTCCAAGACCAAGTTTCGCTCCCACAAACAAGAGAGGCCTGTTTTAATGTTCATGTTCCTTTTCTAGGACGTGAAGGAGATTGTCCGTTTTTGCCCACCATTCTTATCTACTTCTCTCTGGACCTCAGTTTTGCTATTGTAAAGTGGAGAATTAGGACAAGATTTCTAACCTCTTTATTCCTCAGATTTTGTGACACGATTGGTCCTGAAAGGCAGTAAATGCTGATCCCTCAATCCAGTGCTGGTGTCATGAATGTGCGGTGTCCCCAATACCTATTCAGGATTTTTCCATTCTGAGGTCATATTTACAATGCTTTGGTTCCTGGAACATGACCCCAGGTAGGCAGTGTTTCTGTTATCCTGGTACTCTGCCTGCCAGCTATGGGCCACAAGGCTGAGTGAGGAGGACCAGAAGTCAACCCTCCTGTAACATCCATGGCCTACTGCCTTCAGCTGCATGGATGGGATTTAAATGGATAACCATACACATTTATAAAACATGCAAAATCTACCATCTCCTATTGATATTAACTATCAATAGCCTGTCTCTTTTAGTTTTTTGTCATGCCTTTTCCTATCTCCCTATGTAATTTTTTTATTATTCTAGTTCAGGATTTAGTTTCACAGATAGTTAGTGGCCTTTTATCTTTGAAGTGTTTATTCTACCCTTTGGTTTAAACTTCCTACACTTGAGTTATGTTACAACTATTTTGTCGTTAGAAAAGGTCCAGTAGCTGGGCCTGGTGGCTCACGCCTATAATCCCAGCACTTTGGGAGGCCAAGATGAGAGAACTGCCTGAGTCTACAGGTTAGAGATCAACCTGGGTAACATGGCGAGACCTCGTCTCTACAATAAATCAAAAACTTAGCCGGGCATGGTGGCGCATGCCTATAGTTCCAGCTACTTGGAAGGCTGAGGTGGAAGAATCGCCTGAGCCCAGCAGGTTGAGGCTGCGGTGGCCGTGAGTGTACCACTGCACTCCAACCTGGGCGGCAGAGTGAGACTCCAACTCAAAAAAAAAGAAGAAGAAGAAGAGGCCTAGTAACTGGGAAGTTGCCTCCTGTTACTGGAAGTTTCCAGGTCTCTTCCTCATTGGATGCATATGTGAACTTCGACCAGTTCAACTCTGGTACTTGAATAAGGTTAATCCCTAGAATAAGAGATACTGAATCTCCAGGTTGAAAGGGATTCAATAGTTCATTCCACACAATCTTTGCTTGGTTACCTCCTAAAACAGTCTCTCATTAGATCACAAAACAGCCTGTTTGCCTGCTGGACACCTCTAATTTTTAGCAAATCTATTTCTTCAAAAAAAATGTTATTTCAAAAGAAATACGGCCAGGCTTGGTGGCTCAGCCTGTAATCCCAGTGCTTTGGGAGGCTGAGGCGAGTGGATTGCCTGAACCTGCGGGTTGGAGACCCACCTGGGCAACTTGGCAAGACCTTGTCTCTACAATAAATCAAAAATTAGCCGGGTGTGGTAGCGCGCGCCTGTAGTTCCGGCTACTTGGAAGGCTGAGGCGGAAGGATCGCCAGAGCCCAGCAGGTCGAGGCTGCGGTGGCCGGGAGCGGCCACTGCACTCCAGTCTGGGCGACAGAGTGAGACTCCAACTCAAAAATAAAAAATGAAAAGAATAAAAATGATGTCTGTCCCATAATTTCATACCCCATAGAAACCCACTATTAAATATTTAACTTATATTCTTCTAGTCTTTTTTCTCCCTTCTTCTGTATATGTATCCTCACATACATGAGATTATACTGAACACATAATTCTGTAATATGAACCAACCTTTATTAGGTTGAGCATTCATCTGCCTT